GCAGACGATTTATGCATGCAACAAAAAATTATTTAACAATTTGAATCAGTGAAAAGATACATATATGGTGGACAGACATAGGATTTCATCGTTTTTTTGTCAAAAACCATGCTTTGAATATTCTGGATACAGAAGGATCAGATTTCACATATCATAACCGTATAAATGGGTTAGTGTTTTGTTTTCTAAATAAAACACAGCTTATTGCATGTTTATGACTAGTAGATATCATCACTTGTTTAAAGAATAAAAGAAAAAGAAAACTTCTCAAGTAGGCCTAAAGTACACTTAAAACTTAAAACAAAATGACAGTTTAGTTATTATTACTCTTGATTTATTTTTGTTACAGTTAGATTTAGTTGACAATTTCAGATCCTCACAGTATTTGTTCGTGGTAATAAATAAATAACACATGGGTTTGTGAGTAACAGTAAAAATATCATCCCTCGTAAAAAAAACTGTTACCCTCGCCTACGCCTCGGGTAACAGTATTTTCCTCGGGATGATATTTTTACTTTTACCCACAAACTCATGTGCTATTTATATACAATTGTGTTGCATCATGTAAGTAGAGTTAATAAAGTACTGTTCTGTTCTGTTTTGTCATAAAATTATATATTTTAATGATAAAGTTTTTGCCTTTATACAACTAGCATTGAAATCAGATAATATATCTGATCACATAATAAAACGATACTTCGTAATTCTTCACATTTTTGCCTAGTCCGATAGTTTTTGGGCTGTTCCGGGTGATACGGCTAGCCAGAAATAATATAGTTATACTTGTTCAAACGAAGTAGCCGGAGATGGAGTGTATCAATAATATAAAAATACATTATAAGATAAACAAATGGTCTTTTGCACAGGTTTTACAGTATTATCTATGGCTATCCTATTTAGGCGGAATCGAATTCAAGCTAGCCGGAACAACCAGAACAACCGGACTAAGCAAAAACAGTTCCGGCTGTCCGGTTTACTTCACGAACTTATTAAATCCAAAGAAAATAAACAGACTAAATTGACCGGTTTTCTTTTCACATGTTTCATATTTTGTCCTTTAGTTTTGACTTAATGTATTTAAAACTAAAAATATTACGAAAATGAACAAGGAATGGCAATCGCACTTTCAATTCATGCATCTTACAAAAAAAATCGCACACGACATGTAATCATGAATCATTTTACTTTTAGATAATATCTAGTACATTTGTCTCAAATTTGATTTTATCACACACCCGTGCCGATTTTGCGACTCCGTAAATATGGTATTGCACGACCGTGCACAACAGTGCATATATTTTAACGCGACACAAACATAGCGTAACGACGCGCTAAATGTTAGCGTTATACTATAGGCGCGTCAATGAAAAATGACGCTTTTTTCACTTTTTGCAGTCTTCATTTTTGGTATGTGACAAATAGAATATTAAATTCGTGTAAGTTCATTACTGTTTTTATTGAACTCGTTGAATAAAACAATATCATGCTCGCCACAGGCTCGCATAATATAAATTTATTCAACTCGTTCAATAAATTCAGTATTGAACTTACACTCATTCAATATCCTCTATTTCTTGAAGTGATAGTCTGCTCATTTTTTGCAAGTTCAGCTGACTTGTCTATATATTTTCATAAGATTGATCTTTTAGATATCAATTTTCCACCGCTGCTCGTAGCTAAATTCAAAGCATCAGAGAGCAACTACAACATAATATTCCTTATTTATTTAATTTTAGGCCACGTCAGTCATAAATCATTCACGTCGCACAATCACGTTACGTCACTCTGATTATATTTGTATGTATTATAATACTGCACGTTTGTAACGTCGCTTTTCATTGTTAATCGTGACGTTTATATTATTAGTTCTAAAGATTTTTGACACGTTATATAGTCCTATATAAACGGTTGTTTGTAAATATAAACCGAGCCGCTAGGTATTTTTAAAATACTGCACGTTTGTAACGTCATTTTTCATTGGATAATCGTGACGTTTATATAGTTTTATATACACTGCTGCTGTCGATTCATGAAGAAATCTTACTTTTTTTTCTATAAAAATGATGCTTGCTGTATTATAAATTCGTTATAAAGATTGTTGACAGGTTATATGGCCGTATATAAACGATTGTTTGCAATATAAACCTCGCCTAGCGGCTCGGTTTATATTTACAAACAATCGTTTATATAGGACCATATAACCTGTCAACGATCTTTATAACTAATAATATACACGGCTGCTGTCGATTTATAAAAAAATATCGCTATATTCCTCTAAAAATGATGCTTGCTGTATTATAAAGTCGTTATAAACATTTCTGACAGGTTATATGGCCGTATATAAACGGTTGTTTGCGATATAACCCTCGCCTAGCGACTCGGGCTATATTTGCAAACAACCGTTTATATAGGACCATATAACCTGTCAAAAATCTTTATTACTTATATAATAAATGCTGCTGAAGAAGGCTAAAAGGCCGAAAGTTACGGCACATTTAAATTAGCGTTTTAAAGTGCATAAGGGTATATATACTAGCACAGTAAAGTAAAACCGAAGAAAAGAAAATGAAGTGGGAAATTATTTATTATATTCCATATAACTCTTCCGGAATTTAAATGGACGTGCCATAAGTAAAATTTCTATTCCATTGGCAAACATAATTTACAAACCGTCTTTAACAATTTATTAAAGACTTAGTATGTACTGAAATCATTCCTAAAATAAATATATAATTTCTTTATTTCAGTCTCATCTTTACATGTATACATAAAATTACATATAAAACGTAAAACACAAACATAAAATACATGAAAAGCCATTCTAAAAAAATTACAAGAGACTATTTATTTTTGCCTCTAAGGGAGACAACTCCACAGACCATATCACAGCAGTTACTGTTTTATGCACTGAGGAGTTTTCCCCCCTAGCTACACAATTATCAGTTGTATTTTAAAAAATATGACCTCAATATATTCAAACTATTGCATGTTTTTCCTACAGAAAGTTACATTGTGGTACAATGAATAAAACGATACTAAAATGTTTAAATGCAAATGGTAAGAAGAAAAATTGACCATTATAAATCATTTAACCTTGGAAAGTATGTCATTTTTTACACTTGATACTTTACAATCTCAAAATATTACTAACTTCAGTATATCAACGATTTGTTTTCTTCAACATAATTTACATGAACATCTGTTTTATCTATACAATATATTGGCTTAAACAATGGATGTTTTATACAGAAGCAACATATATTTGTCCAATATGTAATAAATATGACCATTAAAACTTATACAAGTCAATAAATGACATTTTTAAAACCATATCCTGCCAAATAAAATTTACTAAGACTGTTTTATTATAATTTTTTATACTGTCCAATTAAATTTATCTAGGACTATATAAACTATAAAATAGTATTCACTTTTGAAAAATTGATAGCAATTTAGTCTGGTTAAAATATTTATCTTAAAACCTACATTTCAGTAAAAACATTTACCTATTATTCTTAGTTATACATAATTAACTAAAAATATTGACAGAATATTTTCGAGCCCACCATTTTGATTTCAAAAGACATAATCACATAAATATCATATAAATATCATTTTGAACAAAAACTCTATAAAAACTTTCAACTGTTACAGTGAAACGTGTAAAAGTTCAAACTAAATGTATACTTTTCATCATGATGTAACTTAACACTAGTCAACCTTAAAGATTTTTATTCGATGTTTTGGATCAAGATACCCTATTTCAGAATAAGACACATAAAGTTTTTTAGATTTCTGACAGTATGCCACAGCTTCCGGGTACCAACTATCAAGTTTCTCATTTATCGTTATCTTACACGGCTTACAGATGTCTGATACTCTCCGCAAATTGTCATCACTATCTTGAGTCAAACAAACAATAAATGTACCATCATTTAATTCACAAATATCTCGTAGATATTTTCCTACCTGACGAGGAGTGTGCTGGTTGATAGGTATTTAAAACATTTCCCTGCCAGTCTAGTTGTTTAAAAGCCTGCACAGGATAACCATAGTCACTAACATATATAGACGTTCCAGCTGTATTAACCGTGACATACCAGGGTATGCAGAACAGACTATCATCTTCACTAAAACTTTGCAATATTTTACCTTGTAGGTCAAGAACTAAAACTGTTCCTGGATTAAAGTTACATGACACAACAAGCTTATCTTGGTTGTAAGCAATACCATAACATTTCTCGTTGATATTTACCTTACGTTCAGAAACTATGTGTTGATTTCTTAGCGACATGAAATGAATACTTTTATCACCAGGTACAGTAACGACGAACTTATCATCCGTTATAGCTGCAACATCAAACGGTGACTTAGTTAATTTTATCTCTGATACAACTTTCTTCAGAACTGTATCATAGCATTTAACATTATTATTGTCGCTGTTATCACACATAACTATCTTGTCGAGCTTAATAACTTCTATCCCGGTTATGTCACATTTTGTGCTTCCCGATGAAGAATTCAAATCTATATCTTCAACAACCTCAAGATTTAGCGTCTTATCCTCAGACGGTGTTGATGTAGGTTTCATCACTGGAACATTTTCACCCGTGGATGTTTTCTTTGTAATAAGTTCTCCCAGTTGCTTGTGTCTATCTAACATATCGACAATATCACTGTTTTTGACAAATGATACAGTCTGGAAAACATCTGCTCGACTATATTGTTTTTGCTTCATCCTCATCTCTTCAACTCGTTTCTTTGTTTCTTTCATTTCAACAAACAGCTTATCAAGGCATTTTCTTGGTATCAGGTTATCAATGCGTTTTCGTTTTTCAGTTAGTTTATCTGTGATTTCTTGTACACCTGTTGATAAATCATTTAGATTCGTTTGTTGTTTAAGAAGTATGTTGTCAGCTTCTTTAACAGCATGTTTCTCCATTTCTTCTAGACGTGTATTTATTTCTTTTCTGAATTGATGAATCGCCTTTACTACGTCATCGTGGTTTTTATTTGTTTGGGTCGTCAGACCAAACAAATAATGGTAGCGAAATTTCAGAGTCTAATGTTCTTAATTGCAAATGCCGAAAGTAGTCCACTTTTTTGAAGCGGTTACTTCCCTTTTGTATGTACACTAAAGCCGAAAAATTCAGGGGAGATCACTGCGTAAAGATGGTCAAAGACAGGCGCATCAATTTTCAAGCAAAGTAATTCCCGAATGGTCGAAGATTTCTAATATTGTTTTCTGGTATTTTCTGATCGAAAATAACTAAATACAAAGCGGACATTCAATCTCTGACACAGAAGTTTATGACAAACCTAACAACAAGTAGTTCTCAAAACAGCTTAAAACTAGCGATTTAAAAGAAAGAAATATTTTATTTTGTTACAAGTATCCAACAAATTACAACGCATTTAAAGTTAAACAATAGCGTTGGCTTATAGAATTGTCAATAAATGCACAATCACAAATTACGCGGATGAATATGATTTTATCAATGAAAATACTATTTTTAGCCATGTAGATTACCGAATACTACACAAACCGAGTAGTGGAATATATATAGATTCTACATGTCGGACTGTTTGGGCGAGAGGATTTTCGCTAAAATATTTACTTCAATTTTAAACAACAGGTTTACCCTGAACAAAATACCTCGAAATTAATAAGGATTACAAACCTGAATGCAATGGAAGTTCTAAATTTAGAATGACTTGATATTATTCAGACAGTCTGTGTATAACTTCTCCGTGGTTCAGTGGTAACGCGCTCGCTTAGTGAGTGAGAGGTCTCGAGTTCGAATCCCAGTCGAGGAAATTTTTTTTTTGTTAAATTCTTTTTTTAATTGTTTTTGTTAAGGAAGTAGCCATGATTTACAAGGATAAAGTGTGGCTGTCGTAAAAAAAAGTACATAAATGATTTTTTGATGCAACTCTAGTTATGCAGAATTCCGTATGTGCCTTACAAAATGAATTATAATACATAAAAATAAACTTATACAGGAAAATGCATACAGATATACAGTACGATTTAGATTGCAAAGATCAGAAAATACCAAAGAACTTGAAGCCCTTTGATTCTTTATAAATATACATGCTTATAGTAAGCTTCAGGATTATTTACATCTGTGTTAAACAACAGTTAAAAGTCGTTACAAGCCCTAATTTAGAATAATTTGGTTTTCTTCAGGCCGTTCACATATAAATTTAACCGTGGCTGAAGGGTTTTCGGGCTCGCTTAAGAAGCGAGAGGTCTGGAGTTCAAATCCCAGTAAAGGTAACTCATTTTTTTAAATTGTTAAAGTCAAATAAACATTGGATTGAATATCAGTGTTGCAATTAGTCTTATAGCCAATTTACTACAATTAAAACGCTGGAAAGCATTGGTGGCACTAAACATATAATCTCACAACCTGCACCTTTCTTACATTCTGAGACCCAAACAAATTCAGCGCCTTCTGTGCTTTGATTAGAAATAGCTTTCATCTCATCTTTTATTCTCTTTATCTGTGAGTTATAATTATCCTCCAGTGCTTTCATTTCTGCCATTATTTCATTAAGCTCTTCACTGTCTAGAATATGCTCCGAGAGTTTTGGTATGTAGTCTACAGTACATAACCTGTGTTTCAGCGTTACACAAACACTGCAAGCAACGGTGTCATGATCTTTGCAGTAGAATTTCAGTTGTTCGTTTTCATGATCATCACAACTATCAAATTCGTCTTTTACGATTGGAACGCTTGGTGTAGTTGGCATAGAGTCTTGATCTAGTAGAATATGATGACGTGATGGAGTTTGTTTCTTGTGGTGCTTGTAACAAGTGTCACATAGATGTTCTTTGCAGGTTGAACAATAACCTTTTGCTGGTACCCGGGCACCATCTCTATCACACGGGATACAGAACAAAAGAAAGTCCTCATCAGAGCCCAGTGAAACAGAAAATGTCTTTTTTGGTTTACCAGGAACTTCCATTGTTGGTTCGTTCTGAAATTTATTTATTAATGACAGTTCAAAATAATATGGATGTTAGCACCATAATGGATGTAAGCACCAACTTTTAACAACAAATAAACAAATTATACAAAATACAACGATCTTACTTCTTATTTTTAGATTAATAGTTTCTTTATTCATTGTCCTGAGTTGTCAAGTAGTATGTCAATCTCACCAATCAATTAATATAAACCTGATAACACATACATGGATTTACAATTGATTCATTCGTAATTTCAAACATTAAAAATAACAATAAATGCAAAGATTAAAAAAAAGAACTACATTTAAATGGTAATCAAATAGTCAGTCATCGTAATGCATGAAAAGTGTTATTGATACAACTAAGGTGTTTCTTGTTGTTGTTGTTGTTGTTGTTGTTGTTTTTCCAAAGAATTATACCGGGCCTATGAAATGCGTAATTACGTAAATAGCCAGGAAAAAAAGGGAAGAAAGAAACGTGACACTACATGTGTCCATAAAAATAATCAAAACGTTTATTAAAATTGTATAACATTGTAAAATTCCTTAGTGAAATTGATAAACGCGAAACAAACTGGAACACACTCTTCATATTGAAACAAGATACTATTTTATTACATACTTCTAAATGAAGTCTTGAGAAATATATATGAAATAAAATGCGTATTTTCTTTTTTTCCATTGTCTGTATTGAGTGAAACATATTTTTCCATATTTTGTTCTGAAAACTTGCGACTACTTTCTTCTTAATTCGACCAATACACAAAATTAAAGAAGAGAAGTCTTCAGAGTTGTAAGGTCAAAAAAGGGAACACATAAATAATAAACAGAAAATTCAAGTTCTTTTCTATTCATATAGAAGTTATTCAAGTTTTTTTCAATAAATACAGAATTTATTTTTACTGAGTGAAAATAAATATTCCCAGAGTGATGGTAGTCACGAGTGATATATAATAATTTTCATACCACAAGATGAAAATAAATCCTGTATTTATAGAAAAAAACTTAACTTATCTGTTTATTATATACATTTTTTTCTTCTTTTTTTTACATAAAAATTTGAAAGACTTTCCCCCTTGAATTTTGTGTAAAGGCAGAATTTAGAAACATAGTAGTTCGGCAAGACACCAGTGAAAATACGGAAAATATGTTTCACTGCAGTGAAAAATAAATTTTTACAGTGAAATTACGGAAAATGAACATATGCATTTTATTTCATCAATTTTTCTCAATATTTATTTTAAAAGTACATAATCAACAGGATTTATTATCATCATGTGATATCAAAATTACCATATTTCACATTGGGTTACCGCCACTCGTGAAATACATGTTTTCATACCACACTGTGAAAATTGATACTGTATTTATAGAAAAAATTTTGAGTATCCTCTTTTTATACATTACAAGGTTTATATTATTAGAATAAGTAGAATTAGCGATATATGTTTTACATACGAATGTCCTCGCAAGACATTTACATTCATAAAGTAGAGTGAAGTTACTAGTATTATTACACTATTACATTATCATGTAATGCGAACAAAGAAAATGTAAATCTCAACCTAAAAGACCATGTTTGTCATAATTTATTTGGGAAATATTCAAATTCCAAAATTAAACAAACTTTTAACACGACTATTGAACAGAAAAGTACGGTGGCACAAAGGTGACATGTGTGTGTGTTTTTATTTATCTCGTGGCCACAAGATATATGTCGTGGCCACGAGTTACTAAGTCGTGGCCACGAGTAACTACATCGTGGCCACGAGATACTATGTCGTGGCCACGAGTTACTAAGTCGTGGTCACGAGATAGCTAAGTTGGGCCATGAGATACTATGTCGTGGCCACGAGATACTATGTCGTGGCCACGAGTTACTAAGTCGTGGCCACGAGATAGCTAAGCCGTGGCCACGAGATACTATCTCGTGGCCACGAGTTACTATGTCGTGGCCACGAGATAGCTAAGTCGTGGCCACGAGATAGCTAAGCCAGATAACCTGAGAAGGAATAAGTCCTAGTTTATTTTATTTGGAAGGGACATTGCCCATGGACAGTAGATAGCCTATGAGGTAAATCCTTGTCTGATGAATAATTCAGAAGGGATAAGCCATGGTTTGTATAACCCAGGAAGATCATTTCACCTGATCCGTAGATGACATTTAATAATTCCGAGGTCAATGATCAGTGTCATAGTGACGCTAAATGTAACATTATTGACCAGTCAATAAATTGTATAAATGGCACTTTTACAGACTGGTGAAGTAGGGACATCCTTGTACTATAGCACATGTCTAGTTAATTAGGGAAATTCATATAAATGGTGTAATCTGATTGGTTATTTATCTCGTGGCCACGACATAGCTATCTCGTGGCCACGACTTAGTAACTCGTGGCCACGACATAGTATCTCGTGGTCACGACTTAGCTATCTGGTGGCCACGACTTAGTAACTCGTGGCCACGACATAGTATCTCGTGGCCACGACTTAGCTATCTCGTGGCCACGACTTAGTAACTCGTGGGAACGACATAGCATCTCGTGGCCACGACATAGTATCGCGTGGCCACGACTTAGCTATCTCGTGGCCACGACTTAGTAACTCGTGGCCACGACATAGTATCTCGTGGCCACGACTTAGCTATCTCGTGGCCACGACTTATTAACTCGTGGCCACGACATAGTATCTCGTGGCCACGAGATAATTAGCCAAAAAATAGGGTAGGTAGGGACACCGGAAACAAACAATTCTTTTAGGCCGGCCTAAGAACCTTAAACACAATAGTAAGATTACAAAGAACGGATACGGTATTTTTGGTCTAACCTATGCATGTAAACAATATTTATATAATACTTGAAGTTGTTGACTAAGTTTAATCCAATATATTGAGTAAACATCCATCTAAATTACATAGATATAAAAGTTAACAGTTCATTATCGTGGTTGTAGAAACCGAAAGTACAAAATCATGAACATTTATTTGACATTATTTCGAATAGGATTATAATTCTACTTTTGTAGGCATTTTTAAATTGAAAGATTGTCAGACATACATGTATTTTCAATCATAATTGTAGAACATTTCTGAAAAAAATATTTATAAGGTTGTATGTTACTAGTATTTTCCTTTGTTTTTTTCTCAAAATACAATAAGATATGAGATGCACAAATAAAGTTTTATGTTTTGTTAGATATAAGGATTCTAATTTTTCAAGTATCAACATGTTGACTCGACCTCGTTTGATATCAATATACATTAACTTTCTGTGTAAGTTTCATGCAAGATTAAATATAAACACATGATTACTTTTGAAAGCTTCCTAATGAAAAATTCATAAATACAAGATATGAATACCTCAAAAATGTATTTTCCTTTATTTAAATCGGGATAACTTCTCCTACACAAACGCCCTTCATCGCCATTTTGTCGGAACGCGGAAGTTTTATTGTAATCAAATCAAAATTTAAACCGTCTACATGTTTCAAATGTGCAAATAAACGATGAATTTCACTACTTATTTGAATGTTCGTACTTTAATGACATAAGACGTAAATCTCTTCATCCCAGGTTTTACACTCATCCCAATATTTTTAAACTTGACACATTGATGAATAGTTGTGATAAAAATATTCTTCTAAAATTATCTTTATTTTGTAAAAACATTATGTTAAAATTTAGATAAGTAATACTTCTCATTCTCCGTTCTCATTTGTTACAATATAAAATACATGTCGTATTGAATTCAGAACTTGAAATGAACAATATGATCTCCTTTTTGTTTATTAAGCTAGTCATATTTGTATTTTTATATTGTGATACTAGTGATTTTTGACTGTTATTTTTCTGTTTGTTTGTTGTTATAACCAGTTGCATATTATATGCCTTGGTTTAATAAAAACTGAAACTGAAACTGAAACTGAGCAAATAAACAAATTCTCCAATATAATTCGAACACGATATCTGTCTAACCATTATGATATCGGTTGTGCAGATTTTTTAATTACAATTTTCTTTTCTTTTTTCTTATGTATAATCATATACTCGTAATGGTAATATTGTTTCATTTTCAGATATGCGATGTTTTGCACAGCTGAAAGTTAATTTAAAAGTAAAAATGTTATGCAAAATATTTTTAGCAGTAATCAAACATATCTTAATAGTATTTTTATTCTATATCCAAGTGCAACATTTTCAATAATTTTGGCAAATTTGTTTATATCTATTTTCCTCCATTGCTTATTATTCAGTAGGCTTTAACTCTGCTGAATGCAAACATGTTTAAAACTTAAAGGCCCATTATGCCTTAGAAATGCTTTAGTTTGTTTTTAAATGTTGGTATACTTTTACAGTATCCAAAAAGTTACTCATTTGTCAATGGCATGTACCATCTTTTTCATCAATTGCTTTTTGGCAATAAGTACAGTTAAATTGAAATTAGTATATTGTATTGAAGTCAAAATATTACGTTGTTTACATTTTGCTACTTTTATGACAAATTATTTCACATTTATCATTACTTTCTTTAGGTAACAAGCATCTCACATTCTTTAAAACCAATATTTAAATATTATTAAATTTATTATGAATTTGCTTGTCCTTTCTTTATAAGTAATAGGCATATTGTGCCTTATGTTTAAAATTATCTTGTGTGTGTGAAATTCACGAGGAATTTAAATCCAAGTAGTATTTTAAATTTAGATTTCTTTAAAACAAAAGTGCCACTCTAGGAGTCAAACAAGCGTATGTGCAGAGAGAGAGAGAGAGAGAGAGAGAGAGAGAGGGAGAGAGAGAGAGAGAGAGAGAGAGAGAGAGAGAGAGAGGGAGAGGGAGAGAGGGAGAGAGGAGAGAGGGGGAGAGGGGGAGAGGGGGAGGGAGGAGGGAGGGAGGGAGGGGGGAGGGAGGGGGGAGGGAGAGAGAGAGAGAGAGGGAGGGAGAGAGGGAGGGAGGGAGGGAGGGAGCGAGAGAGAGAGAGAGAGAGAGAGAGAGAGAGAGAGAGAGAGATCAAATGAGAGAGATCAAATGAAACGAGCAGTTAACCTGTACGCTATGATGTAGTGAATGGGTATCAGGTAGTAATAGGTAATGGTGGTTTAGGCGATAAATAGTATTTTTGTATTTTCTGATCGCAAGATCAGTAAATACATAGCTAACATCCACGGTCTAACAAAAAAATTTCCTAACAGTCCTAACAACGCAAAGTAGTTCTTACTCAAAACTGCTTAAAAACCAGCAATTTAAAAGACAGAATAATTTTTAATGTAGGCATTTAACGAATTACAGTACATTGAAAGTTCAGATTAGTCAATAGAAATATGAGGTTACAATCACAAATTTCGCGGATGAATATCATTTTAATCAATGAAAATGCTATTTTTAGCTATGTCGATACTCTAGGGCGTAGTATACAAATAAATCTGACTGCCGAGTAGTGGAATATATACATGTCGGACTGTTTTTGCGAGAAGATTTTCGCTAAATTATTTTTAAATATCAAGATATTGATAAAAATGTTTGTGATGGCAGTGATCTCTGTACTGATAAGGGGAGATCACTGCGTAGGAGATTGGCCCTGTCGCTAACAATGTACGTCAAACGGTGCGTAGTCGTGCGGCGTGTTGTCGGGATGTCACATTGTCGCTCGGTTCAAATCGAAGGACTGGCTTATAAGGCGCACGACAGGGCGACATCGCGACAACGCGCCGTACGACATCGCACCTTTGGCGGGCTCCGCTAGAGACAGGTCGAGAAGACGATAGTGCGACAACGCGCCGTTTGGCGTTTTTCGTTTTGTCGCTAGCGACAAGACGAAAAAGCTATAATACGGAAGCTTGTATGTACCCCCGCTATGAAGACATGAAGTCTTCTCCCTCGACTTGTAGAACACAACAAGTCGTCAAAATTACGACGACAAGTTTATATATACTATGACATTTTGACAAAATATATGTCACCATGTCGAGATACGGCATCCCGACTTTCTTACATAAATATATTTGTCTACTAGAAGTAACATGGATGTCGACATACAATTGTGAGATAACCGTTGAATAAACAACTAATCAACATGTTGAATTAACAAGGTGACATGCAATAAACACTTAATGGATGAAAGTACTGTGATATATCATTTGGCAATACAACCAATTAACCTATATCAGCTTTAAACTTAGTTAAAATAAAGGTAATAAGCAAAATTTTTAATCAAGTAATACTAAAAATAATAAATATAAACATATATAAGCATTTTGTAGTTGAAAACTTGTTTTATTTACTTTATAGAAAAAAATTGGATGAGGGGTGAAGTGTCTTACCGATTTTGGGGGGTGAAGTGTCTTAAGGGGTGAAGTGTCTTCGAAATTTGAGGGGTGAAGTGTCTGGGGGGTGAGGTGTCTAGCTGCCTAAAATATGACAACAAAGTTTTTAAGGCATGTGATCATGTCGATTTATTAACGCAATTTTACAACATAATTTCATCGACAAATGAGATGCTGAACGACGAAAATTTTGACGACGAAAATCAAATCGCTTAAATTTCGGCGTCTTTTAAACTTCTACGTATTGATGACATCATGCACAGAACTTTGCGCGGGTAAAAATGGCGGAGGGAGCACCTATAGCTGAGGTGGGTAGATTTTATTGATAGAATACTTGCATTTAAGTTGCAAATTTTATTTAATAAAATAATAATTTAAATCCCGGCATATTTATATTTATTAAGTGCATTGCGAATTCTGAAAATGCAGTTCAAATCTAGTCAACATAGACGCATAACAAGTCAAAACCTCATTCCCCACCCATCGAACATATCAATAGAGTCTAGAGGAAACGGGGCGTTTCGGCCCCAAATAAAATCGGCCCCAGTGGAAAAATCGTCACCTGGACGTTTCGGCCCTTTCCCGTGGGACGTTTCGGCCCTACTATTGTTTATTTATTTTTATTGTTTACAGATTAATTTGCGGGGTGACTAGGGGGCCTACAGCCCGGAATGGTTCGAGCACTGGGCCTATTTTAGCTGGTTAGCAAAAGTAATAACAAAACAGATAAGATTGATGACATTTAATTTTATGCAATTAATTTATAGAATATAAGTATTTCCAGTGTTTAATTTATTATGCCCCCACTTCAAAGCACAGGCAATCGGTGCGTGGCTTGGATAGTATACATGTATATGACCACGCCCACTTATTTTTTATAAATATTTTTTTTTTCACTAATAAAATATTTTTTCATTCAAAATGTTTTTAAAATATCTTATTTTCAATAAATCACCAAAGGAAATTTGCTTTTAAAAATTTCATCCATATAGATGATCTATACTATAAATATGGTAAAGGTAGAAAGGTTCGCCAGCGGACCTACCACCAGGCCTTATGTTACCTCCCAGATCTTTGTTAATTGTCAACCAATTTTCACCAAATAAAGTGCAATCTACGCAGAAATGATTTCTCTTTCTAAACATGTACAATATTAGACAAGTTGGTATGACAAAAGATGGAATTTTAAAGCGAAAATGCACTTTTTGTCTAGGTCGGCCATCGCTTGACCTAACTGAAACTGAAAGTAGACGATTTTGAACATAAATCGATTTTTTTCTTAATAACAAACTAATGTCAGTGCATGCAAACAGTTGAAACAGAGAAGGCAGCTATAATATTATTGCTTACCGGTCCAAAGTTAATCCAAAACGCCTATAGGTACACACTTTCAGTAGTTATTTGCACTAACTTTTAAAATTTCCCGACATTGTACATGTACACAAATCCTGATCCGGATATTCAAAGTACACATGCTCGGTTCCCGCTTGTACCCAGCTTCGCTCAATCTTTATTATGCGAAAAGGGGTACGCATCACGTACATCCGGGTCAGCATTTGTATACATGTAATGTCAGGAAATTTAAAAAGTTAGTGCAAATAATTACTGAAATGCCTACCTACAGACGTTTTGGATTAAATTTGGAGGGGTAAGCGATAGTATTATAGCTGCCTTTTCTGTTTCAACTGTTTGCATGCACTGACATTAGTTTGTTATTAAGAAAAAGATCGATTTATGTTCAAAATCTTCTACTTTCAGTTCGGTCAAGCGATGACCGACCTAGACAAAAAGTGCATTTTGGCTTTAAAATTCTATCTTTTGTCATACTAACTTGACTAATATTGTACATGTTTCGAAAGAGAAATAATTTCTGCATAGATTGCACTTTATTTGGTGAAAATTGGTTGACAATTAACAAAGATCTGGGAGGTAACATAAGGCCTGGTGGTAGGTCCGCTGGCGAACCTTTCTACCTTTACTATATTTATAGTATATATGGATGAAATTTTTAAAAGCAAATTTCCTTTGGTGATTTATTGAAAATAAGATATTTTAATAACATTTTGAATGAAAAAATATTTTATTAGTGAAAAAAAAAATATTTATAAAAAATAAGTGGGCGTGGTCATATACATGTATACTATTCAAGCCACGCACCGATTGCCTGTGCTTCAAAGAAGTGGGTGTATATATTTATTTGCATTTGTCTGTCGGTCGGTCAGTGGACCAATTGGTTTCCGAGTGATAACTAAAGAACCCTTAGGACTAGGAACTTTTCTACATTTACTATATTTATAGTATATATGGATGAAATTTTTAAAAGCAAATTTCCTTTGGTGATTTATTGAAAATAAGATATTTTAATAACATTTTGAATGAAAAAATATTTTATTAGTGAAAAAAAAAATATTTATAAAAAATAAGTGGGCGTGGTCATATACATGTATACTATTCAAGCCACGCACCGATTGCCTGTGCTTCAAAGAAGTGGGTGTATATATTTATTTGCATTTGTCTGTCGGTCGGTCAGTGGACCAATTGGTTTCCGAGTGATAACTAAAGAACCCTTAGGACTAGGAACTTCAAACTTGGTATGATGATTGGTCATGACCAGTAGGTGACCCCTATAGATTTTGTGGTCAATGGTCAAGATAACATTGAGCTTGTGGGTTAAAAGTGTTTCCGATCAATAACTAAAGATTACTAAGGCCTAGGAACTTCAAACTTGGTATGATGATTGGTCATGACCAGTAGATGACCCCTTATGATTTTGGGGTCAATTGGTCAAAGATCAAGGTCACATTGACCTTTGAGGTAAAAACAGTTTCCGATCAATTACTAAAGAACACTTATGCCTAAGAACTTCAAACTTGGTATGATGATTTGTCATTACCAGAAAATGACCCCTATTGATTTTGGGGTCAAAGGTCAAAGTCACATTGACCTTTTAGGTAAAAACTGTGTTTGATCAATAACTAAAGAACGCTTAGGCCTAGGAATATCAAACGTGGTATGATAATTGTTCATGACCAGCAGATGACCCCTATTGCTTTTCGGGTCAAGGGGTCAAAGGTCAAGGTCACATAGACCTTGTAGGTAAAAAAGGTTTCCGACCTATAACATAAGAATGCTTAGGCCTAGGAACTTCAAAATCTTGGTATGATGATTGTTCTCTACCATCAGATGACCCCTATTGTTTTTTAGGTCAAGGGGTCAAATGTCAAGGTCACATAGACCTTGTAGATAAAAATGGTTTCCGATCAATATCTAAAGAATGCTAAGGCCTAGGAACTTCAAAATCTTGGTAGGATGATTGTTCATGACCAGTAGATGACCACTATTGATTTTGGGGTCAAAGGTCAAGGTCACATTGACCTGGTAGATAAAAATGTTACCGATCAATAACTAAAAAACTCTAAGGCCTAGGAACTTTAATTATGGTTTGATGATTGTTCGTGACCAGCAGATGACCCCTATTGTTTTTCAGGTCAATGGGTCAAATGTCAAGGTCAAAGACCTTGTAGGTAAAAAACAGCTTTGCTGTCTCCTGTGACAGCTCTTGTTCTATAACTTGCGATGCAAATCTAACCCTACTTTGTTTCTGCTCGTCAGTGAGCAAATGGGGCACCAAATAGCGCAGATCTAATGTAGCCCAAGTCATTCACGTAAGAACTAAACACTTGAAGAATGGATGCCACTTAATTCTTCTATCTCTTGAATGGTATAATGTGCGTCTTCAACAATTAACGTTTTCACAGTAGCAATGTTCTTTTCCGTCAAAACGGAAACCGGCCTACCCACTCAAGGGTTATTTTCAATTGACTCCTGACTATCCTAAGTAGTAAAACAAATTATGGACCCACTTGCAAACTAGCATATTTTAAAGCACCATTCCCATAAACTTTTTGAAAATCAGGGCGGAAACCCAAGCTGGCTCGAATCTTACAATATACCCTATATTCAGAGATTTTTCTATCCATATTGATATCCTATCTATTATTTCTTCATATTTCAAGGGATTTTGAAATTACTTTGCACAAACTGTCATAATAATAAGACAATGTCAAGTACAAGATCACACTAAGAGCCCAAATTTTAACATAGTTTGTTATATGGTATAATTTGTGCCCTTCCATAACTTCGCCATAGATCAAGGGATTTAAGAATGCTTGGGACAAAATATTATCGTCACAATAATTATAACAAGACTACATGGCATGCGCAACACTTGCGTCCCTACCTCTAAGTCAAGGTAACACTTAGAGGTCAAAGATTGACAAAAATTATAGGGTATAACTTGTTTCCAATCCATAATTTTTTCCAGAAAATTCAAAAAAAAAGTTTTTTAAAAACGAATAAAAAATAAACTTTTCCACAAAAAAAATTTTTAAGCAAATCACACTTTTAAAATTAAAGATATTTAAGCAGCAGGCCCCCAGATTGAATCATCCTAATTTTTATTAAAAAAAAGACTAAAAAACAAAATATTTGAAATATGAACCATTGCAAACGGCCCCAATAATATGATCCCCTAAAAATTTCCAAAAAAAGGTAAAAATTGCAGAAAAAGGGTCGACTTTGGGGTTAACAGAAATATGGTGAAAATTAACTCCAAAAAAATTAATTCAATAAATAAAATTTTTCTTTAAAAACTTTTAAATGATTACCTTCTTAAAATTTTTGGCAGTTTTTCCCCAAATTTTTAATTTTTTTTAAATTTTTTTTCGCATTGGAGGGAGCATTTAAACATTTCTTTTTTGTTATTTTGGTCTGGTCCTAAATTCTTTAAGATCAAGATATTAAAATACTTGGGCCCAAAAAGTCACAATAATAAGAAAACACCCTACAAACTGCACTGTACTCCATTTGAGGTTTAAATTAAATGGTAGGTTTTTAATCCCTTTTTCATTTTTTTTTTTTTAATTAAATATTTAAAAAATTTTTGTTTTATTTGCAGATTTAAAAAATGATCAAAATTTTATCTTTTGAAAATATATATATATAAGCTGCTGAAGAAGGGCCGCAAGGCCGAAGTAAGGAAAAATTTTAAATTAGCTTTTTTGCTTTATCGGAAAGTTAAGATTTTATTATATATATATATATATATAATGTATGCTTCATATAAAACTTCCCTGAGGCGGGGGACATTGGTAACTCTTTAACACTTTAACAAATACTTGTAACCGCCTCCGTGGTCGAGGGGTTAGAGTCGATGACTTCTAATCCAGTTACCTCAGCTCTCTGGCGTGGATTCGAGCCCCGGGAGATGCTTTGGTAGTTTAGCGCGGGAGGAAGGTAGTTTAGTACTGGTGTAACTCTCCAGGAACAATGGTTAGGAAACTACCCGCCTATATGACTGAAATACTGTTGGAAAAAGGCGTAAAATGAAACAAACAAACAAACAAATACTTGTATTATAAGTAATACTTCTATTTGACTTTTTATGGCTTGACCCCAATTTGGCTTTGACCATTATGACTCAAAGTCAAGTAACTGAATACACCTTCACATATTGATAAAAAAGGGAGAGGATTGCAAACAAAATAAAGGCTTCCATAACTTGATCAAAATTAAAGTAGTTAGGGTGCGGACATTAAATGCCCCCTGAGGGTTGCACCCTAATACTTTGTGTTAATTTGTAACTCTGTTTATTTTTTTTCAGCAGCAATCATCATTTGCATTTAAAGTCACAAACTGTATGAGAAGGAGGACACTAGGGGTGATAGCAAAAGATTTCGGACAGCTAAAATATAAATGTAAGTAATAAGGCCCAATGACTGTAAATGAAACATTTCATGACATATTAACTTGAAAACATCTATGAATAATTTTAAAAAGATATGAGATTAAAACATGCGATTTCTTCACATACAAGTTTGGTAGGTCTTTGAAGTCTGTAACCAACTTAAGAGATGTCGTAAAGAAAAACTTACTAATCAGGGAATATACTAAGAATGATGAATCTATACCAATGTAAAAATGTATTGTAACATTACTACATTTTGATAATGATCTGTTAGACAATCTATGAATTAGTAGCAAAGTTGATATATCACTTAATCTTAATACATCAATTACTCTAAAGTGTATGTATCTTTTTGTGACAACAGGTGAACAGAAGTTCGGGCTGGAAAATACTATGTTTGTGTTGGAAGAGGATAGCTGCGAAGTTGACGACGAATATTTATCAGTTTTACCCCCAGACACAAAATTGATGTGTCTGGGGGAAGGAGAGACATGGTCCATCAAACGAAAGGAACCAGCTTCTGGTAAGCTACTAACTTACTATAGGTACATTCACAATTTCTTGATTAATTTAAGTTTATTCACCATGATGTTTGCAATTTTGCATCTCATTTTAGCTCACCTGGTGAGAATGTGCACCTTTACTATGTCTGAACAATTTCATGGGAGATAAGTGAGCGATTCAGGCCCATCACAAGTTTACAACTCCTAGAATCTGCAGTGTAGTTCCTGAACATAAATATATTTGTCGACTAGAAGTAACATGGATGTCGAGATACATGTTACTTCTAGTAGACAAATATATTTAAGTAAGAAAGTCGGGATGCCGTATCGCGACATGATGACATCTATTTTGTCAAAATCACATGGTATATATAAACTTGTTGTGGTAATTTTGACGACTTGTTGTGTTCTACAAGTCGAGGGAGACGACTTCATGTCTTTATAGCGGGGGTACATACAAGCTTCCGTAATTATCAAATTAAGAAGAAATTGGTGGTTTCAGAAATCAAGAACATTTTAGAAACCAACTTAAGTTTTACAGCAAAAAAATGTTCAAAATATTCCAAATTGGACCTTGGATTTGAAATCGCATCAGTGAAAACAAATCATGAATGGCAAATGCATGCATACAATTTATTAATGGCAGTTTATTTCTTGTCTAAAAATGTCAAAAATTTTACAAAAGTAATTCCTTCACAACTTCTGGCAACAAAATATGTAATGATACTAACAATTGAAGACATGAAAATCATTTAAAAAAATGACCTAACTTGATTCTGGACATTTTAAGTCAACCAACTTTCAAAATTTGGAGGTTGGGTATGATATATATGCAGATGTGAATTTCAAGTCATCCCTGTAATAGTGAAATAATTGCCCTTTTCTATTTTCATATATAGGCTACATAGTACATATAATGAATGCAATCTTGTCAGCCCAATTTTACTGACAGTAATTTATGAATTTCTTGTCCCTCAAGTGTAGGCGAATTATGGCCCACTGACAGGGAATATTCAGTTTGCCTGTATTGACAATTCTTGTTATACCCCCTGAAACAAAGGAGTCACCCAGTGGTTGTGCAGTGCATTCATAACTTGAAAACAGCTAGTTGGAATTGAATACAACTTCATAAAATGATGATTCAAGCACATTGAGAGGAAGTGCAGTGCACAATAACCATAACTCATTCTTGACTAAAGTAATTACAGAGAGTTATTGCCCTTTGTTTCTTTTTCTTGTCCGGAGCATAACTTGGAAACTACTGATTGGCTTTCAAAACTATTTCATACAATTGTCAACTACAATAAGAGGAAGTGCAGTGCACCAGAAATGTAACTCAATAATTCAGAGTAATTAGAGAGTTATTGCCTTTTGTTACACTTCCTTGTCTTGAGGATAACTTGAAAAATACTGGTTGGAATTCAAAACAATTTCATACAATGGTCAAGCACAATAAGGGGAAGTGCAGTGCACAAGAACAATAACTCTTTCTATAGAAATTACAAAGTGATTGCCCTTTGTTACTTTCCTTTGTCTGGAGCCTAACTTTAAAGCTACTGGTTGGAATTCTAAACAATTTCATACAATGGTCAAAAACAATAACAAGAAGTGCAGTGCATTATAACCATAACTCTATCTATAGTAAGTGTAGAGTTATTGCCCTTGCAACTGCATACAACGGTCAAGCGCAATGAGAGGAAGTGCAGTGTACAATAGCCATAACTCTATCTTCAGTATTTGCAGAGATTTTTCCCTTGGTTCATTTTCCTTATTGGCAGCATACTTTAAAAAGTACTTGTTATTCCCGCCGAAAAGGCAACGGGGGATATAGAAATAGTCTCCGTCTGTCTGTCCATCATTCCGTACGTCCCACATTTTTGTCTGGAGTATATCTCAAAAAGTATTAGAGGTATCTATTGGAAACTTCATTGGTGGATAGATCTTATTGAGGAGGAGTGCATTGCACAAGAAAAATAACTCTAACCTGCATAATTTTCAGTTATTGCCCTTTGTTATTTTTCAAACTTAGTTTTTGTCCAGACAATAACTCAAAAAGCCTTTAAGATCATGAACTTTCATAGATGGATAGATTTCACTCAGGATATGTGCAGTGCTTAAAAGTGATAACTCTACACTTCATAATTTTTGAGTTATTGCCCTTTGTTATTTTTCATACTTAATTTTTCTCCTGAGTAGAGCATAACTCAAAAAGTCTTTGAGATGTCAACATGAAACTTCATAGGTTAATAGACCTTAAAGATCACAAGAATGATAACTATACCTTTTATAATCACTTCAGCCATCAGTTTTCATTATCAAAAGACTTCTTAAAATTGAATTATTCTTCTCTACTTCATATACATTCTTCCAATGAGCAAACACTTTTAGCTGGGGATGGCTATGTTAACATGGCTCTTGTTAATTATAAGTTGAGTTCAAATTTTTCTTCAGACCACTTTTTATACACCGTTGAAAAACGGGTCGTATTATAATTTCCCCCTTTTGGCTGGGCAGGCAGGCGTGCGGCCTCCGATTTTTGTCCGGAGCATATCTCCTATAGGCATGGAGGAATTTAAATGAAACTTCATAGAATTGTTAACTACTATTAGGAGCAGTGTCGCGCGCATGAACCAGGCCTCTAGATCAAAGGTCAATGTCACACTTAGAGGTCATTGAAAAACGCTTGTCCGGAGCAAAACTGCTACATGCATAGAGGTATTTCAATATAACTTTGCACAAATATTCACTATTGTGAGGCATCGTGTTGTGTCCAAAATTCAGATCCTTGCGGCCAAGGTCAAGGTTACATACAGGGGTCAAAGTTCAGATAAAAAATCACTAGAGATGATAATATATCCAGATAGTTTCCAGATATTGCCCAGAGCATATCTTTAATGCACACATGTCTGTCAAAAGCTTCTGTGACAGGCATATATTTCGACAATGTTGCCCTTGTTTTAAAAGTCCAAGTTGCTGATGGGGGTATTAATCACCTTCAGTATTAACTCTAGTTGATTTTACTTTCAGAACAGGGAGAGGAAAATATCATGACACTGATAGAAGATTTGAGGAAGAAGAAACTGAAGGCAGAGAGACACCAGGTCAATTTATTACTATAATGTTATTAATTAACTGATTTAATATTGGCCTTGTTATTGGGCTGAAGCCAGTTGTATTGTACGACTGGCTTCAGCCCTAAAACAAGGCCAATATGAATTTAGTTAAGGAATGACAGTTTTCTTAATTAACTGTAAAATATTTTGCATGCATCATTTAAATCATTTTTGAAATGTCTAATAATTGCTAGTTACATCAGAAATTTTCCTTTAATTCAGGTTATCTGTGAAGCAGTTAGAGCGTCCTATATTTAAATTTGTGCTTGGCAGTCACCAATTTAACAAAATTTAAAACATAGTAAGTGGTATCTAGGCTTTTGGTGTTTCCTGTGATGTTATGCCACTGTCAAATTTGCAATTCACGAACTCCGATCATTCATTATAAAAAAAGACCCCTGTACTTGATTTAATAGCTCACCTAAGCACAAAGTGCTTATGGTGAGCTATTCACAGTGACCGTCTCTGCAACTACTGACTGGATTTGACTAAACTGCACAGAAATGAGCCTTGGCAGGTTCTCGACCAAAGTGATTCAGATGGTTTCAGTTGACTGCTTTAGTAGGTTGCAAGGGTCAAAAAAGGGTTTGAAATTTTTTCAAAAATCTTGTTCTCTGTTACCATAGGCATAAGACCCAGAGTACCGTCATCTAGTGGTCTTCTATTAAAAATCTTCAAATAATTTCCCTGGGGTCAAAATTGGCTTTGCCCTAGGGTCACTAAGTTTACATAGACTTATAATAGGAAAACCTTTTAAGATCTCCTTTTGTGAAACCACAAGACCTAGAGATTTCATGTTTAATTTGAAGCATCTTTTATAGGTCCTCTTTTAAAATTATGCTCCTGCTTCATGAAGTAAAAAAAATACAATTTAAAAAAATTTCCTCTGATACCACAAAGCTAATGTTTGGTATATAGCATCACCTATTGGTCCTCAATCAAATTTGTTGAAAATACGCCTCTGGGTTTAAATTGGCTCGGCCTGGGGTTATCATGTTTACATAAACTTATAATGTGAACCTATAAAAAAACCTTCTTGTCTGAAACCACAAGGCCTAGAGCCCATATTTGGTATGTAGCATTATTTATAGGTCCTCTATCTTAGTTATTAAGTTTGTGCCCCTAGGATCATAAATGCCCCCATCCCGCCCAGAGGACTTGTATCATATTTATTCCTCTTTGGTGATACTCATCTTAGTTCTTGAAGTGCTTGATTTTTAGCTCACCTGTCACAAAGTGACAGGGTGAGCTTTTGTGATCGCTTTTTGTCCGGCGTCCGTCCGTCTGTCGTCCGTCCGTAAACTTTTACTTTAAATGACATCTCCTCATAAACCACTAAGCCAATTTCATCCAAACTTCACAGGAATGTTGCCATGGCAACCGAAAGAAAAAACTTTAAATATCTTCTTTTAAAAAACCATAAGAGCTAGAGCTTAGATATTTGGCATGAAACATCTTCTAGTAAGTGTCTACCAAGTTTGTTCAAATAAAAGCCCTGGGGTCAAAATTGGCCCCGCCCCAGGGGGTCATTGATTTTCCCTATATGCATATAGTAAAAACTTTAAAAAATCTTCTTTTAAAGAACCAAAAGAGCTAGAGCTAAGATATTTAGCATCAAACATGTTCTAATAGGTGTCTACCAAGTTTGTTCAAATAAAAGCCCTTGGGTCAAAATTGGCCCCGCCCCGGGGCGTCATTGATATTCCCTATATGCATATAGTAAAAACTTAAAAAATCTTCTTTTAAAGAACTCAAAGAGCTATGGCTAAGATATTGAGCATCAAACATGTTCTAATAGGTGTTTACCAGTTTGTTCAAATAAAAGCCCTGGGGTCAAAATTGGCCCCGCCCCAGGGGGTCATTGATTTTCCCTTTATGCATATAGTAAAAACGTAAAAAATCTTCTTTTAAAGAACCAAAAGAGTTAGAGCTAAGATATTTAGCATCAAACATGTTCTAATAGGTGTCTACCAAGTTTGTTCAAATAAAAGCCCTGGGGTCAAAATTGGCACCGTCCCGGGGTCATTGATTTTCCTTATATGTGTATAGCAAAAACTTAAACAATCTTCTTTGATAAAAACCCAAATAGCTAGAGTTAAGATATTAAGCATGAAACATCTTTTTATGAGTGTCTACAAAGTTTGTTCAAATAAAAGACCTGGGGTCAAAATTGGCCCCGCCCCGGGTGGTCATTGATTTTCCCTATATGCATATTGTAAAAACTTAAAAAATCTTCTTTGAAAAAACCCAAATAGCTAGAGTTTAGATATTAAGCAAGAAACATCTTCTAGTAAGTGTCTACAAAGTTTGTTCAAATAAAAGCCCTGGGGTCAAAACTGGCCCGGCCCCAGGGGTGTCATTGTTTTTAACTATATGTGTATAGTAAAAACTTAAAAAAAATCTTCTTTTAAAAAGCCCAATGAGCTAGAGCTTAGATGCTTAGCATGAAACATCTTCTTATGGGTGTCTACCAAGTTTGTGCAAATAAAAGCCCTTGGGTTAAATTGGCCCTGCAACGTTGGGGGGGGGGGGCCTATATACAGGTGAGCGACCTCAGGGCCATCATGGCCCTCTTGTTACCATAATCATATGGTATTTAAAGATAAAATAAAATTTCAGGCATTTAAGCCAAAGGAGCGAACAGTGTCTGTGCAAGTTGGATGGAGCAACTATTCTTTCAAGGACCAGAGGTATCAGTTGGTTAAGACAACAAGAGATAAACCCAACTCTGGACCCAGAATGATAAAGCTAGACAGGAAGTTAACTATGTCATCAGTTGCAAACACATTGAAGGATTTGTTTTTCCCCCAAGGGAAGAGCCCTCTAGGATCCCAGAGAAACTTCACATTCAATGTGGGTAACTTTCAAGGAGACATCATCAATCGAACAGTAACTGTTGACGAGTATGTTAGTACTCACACAAAACCAAGATTGTATCTACTATCAAAAGCAGTAAGTATTTGTGTTGTCAAATGAAAACTTATAAAAACTGCCGTTATCTAAAAAATGCCTATCCTTTATAGAATGATGTCAGTTAAAAAAAATCAAATTATTGTTTTTAGCACTGCAATGTTCTCAAATTCTAGCAGTCATGAATGGGAAAGATAACACTTTGCTGACATAAACAGGTAGCACTTTTGTAATAAACTGATTTTTTTTTCATATAAAGGCTACACTTTTGTCTGCATTAGATTCTGACTCTGACTCTGATTTTGAATTGCCACCAATTGTGTTCAATACAAGGCAACACCAAGCAACAGCCACAGTGACATCAGACTCCATTGGTAATCTGAATGATGTAAGTAACTCAAGCATAAACAATATTGATAGTGTACATTTGTCTATTTTGTTGTTTTTGTTGTAATCTATATTGACTGGAACTGTTGAAAAAGGCGATATATAGGGGTTACTTTTGCTGTCGGCGGCGTCCCCTAAAGCTTGTCTGAAGCATAACTCAGTCACTATAAGTCTGATTGACTCCAAACTTGGTATGCATGCTTCTTTCAATGGCCCAAAGTGCAGTGCACAAGAATCGCTACTTTGCGCTTCTTAATTTTTTGAGTTATTGCCCTTTGCTAATTTTCATACTTTATTTTTGTCCAGGCCATTTCTCATAAATTATAAAAAGCTATGGACTTGAAACTTCATAGGATGATACATCTCATTGAGAAAAAGTGCAGTGTACAAGAACCGGTACTCTGCATTTCTTATTTTTTTAGTTATTGCCCTTTGTTAATTTTCATACTTTACTTTTGTCCATGCTATTTCTCATAAACTATCAAAGCTAACATGATAGATCTCATTGAGATAAGGTGCAATGTGAAAAAAAACAGGTACCTTCACTTGATTATTTTTGAGTTATTGCCCTTTGTTAACTCTCTTACTTTATTTTTTCCGGGCCATTTCACCTTAACTATGGACCTGGAACACATAGGATAATAGATCTCATAGAGAAGAGCAGTGCACAAGTACTCTGTACCACATGATTTTAGAGTTATTGCCCTTTGTTAGTTATTATACTTTATTTTTGTCCTGGCCATTCTCCTACACAATAGAAGCTTTTCAAGCTACATCAATCCTGATGTAACATTGTTACAATCAGTTCAAATGCCAATAAATTACATGTACTTTGTAAGAGTGGTGTTTATAAATAACCTATATTTAAAGTGACAGCTATACTATTCACAAGGCGACACATTCAACTCGCAGAGTTCTAGTCTTAGATTAATGATGCCAGACTCTGGTAGAAAGCATTGTGGAATAAGTTTCACAGTGCAACTAGCTATATAGGTTTTTCAGTGCTTAATATTGTAATGTAGCCAAAGCCTCGCATCACTTTACCTGCAATGGAGCAATTGTAACATGACTGTTATATTTAAGTCTAAAGTGCTTCAAAGTATTTAACCGAATGCTTGCAGTATATTCTGTCATATCTAGTACCACATATATTCTGTCATATCTAGTACCACAAACAAATAAAATGTCATATTTTTTATTTCATTTATTCTGAATATGTGTACACTTTGTCTCTCTACTGAGGCATTAAAAATACATGTATGTTGTTTCTGGTTACCAGACGTACTCCCCTATTTATTCCTCAGTTCCAGTGTATGTTATTATCCCAAAGACAATCCAATTATGTTCTATTTATTTAATATTACAATAAATTTCAATAATTTATCCGACATTTAAAGTGAAAACACTCTTGTAATACCCAAATGAGACAAAAATACATATTCAATCAATAATGCAGGAATGCTTCAAAGCTCTATTTGTATAACTATTTTTTGTTAAATTCACCAGGTGTATTTTTATTTTCAAACTGCTCTAGATAAGTTGTTGCACATGATCCTTAATTAAATGTAATACATAATTCAATTAATACATGATTCAATTTGAAACCAGCACTAGATTGATCCTCAAAATATGTGTGACAGGGACATAAATTTACTATATAATCAATCATTTGTTCTATATAATCGTGTATGATATGCATATAAATTGATTTGACTTGATTTGATATATGTATGCTAACACTTTTTAGGTTGTTATAAATGTGGACCCAACTGTGACCCCACCTGGTACACCAACTGCACCCACTGAACAAACTGGAAGCACTGATGTATTCTTAAACTCAGGCACACCAACAGTATGTGTTTTCATTTTAATGCAAAAAAATGCGAAATGTTGACTGAAAAATACTTAAAATTTGCAAGCACTTAATTTTATCTCATTTTATTTGATTGGGCGCAAATGCAGAGTGCGAAATAAAAAATGACCCAACATTCAAATTTTGACCCAAACCAGCACTATAGTTTTAACATTTTATAAGAATCACTATTGACTTGCATAAATTAGAAATGTGTTTTGTTTTCTGTTCCCATCTACAATACAAAGTGAATTTGCCTCTTTTCCAAAATATTATTCTCAAAATTATGATATGTACAAATATTTAGATCTCAAAATTATCAATACTCCACTGTTTACACATAATGCATGATGACCTGTTACTGTCAACATTAATATCATTGAATAATGTACAATTAAAGTCCAATGTCTTTAAATTTGAAATATAAAACTTGCTTTTAATGCACTCATATAAAAAAAGAAAATTAGAAGAAGTTTCCTACATAAATGCCAAACCCTATTTTATTTGAGTTGGAAAGGGGAGACATATTTTTATTCATTTTGGCCTTATTGAAAATAATGAAATGGTGAATCATGGAGCTTTATATTACTTCATATTTGAATCCATGGTTTACATAACATTTATATAGATGACTAAATCAATTCTCACATTTGGTAAAAAATGAAAATAATGTTTAAAGTTCATAAGACAGACTATTGAAAAAATAATAGGAAGTTAAACACTTTTCAACATTACTGATATGATCAGTTGTTGTTCTATAGAATTTAGAAAGGGCAACTGCATGGTATTCAGTACTCAAGATTTGTCCTTTTATGTATAAAATATGAATGTATGAATCACAATATGAATTTAGGAAACTATATCATATACTATCTAAATGATATGATAATATTCTGTCATAATTATAATATACCCAAAACAACAGTATAAGATAACAGTATTGTAAACATACTACAATACTCTTTTTAAAGGAAACTAAAAATGTGAGCATTGTCTGAGTGTAAATCCAGTTAGTTATCAGTATTGAACCATTGCATTACAAACATATTTTCTGGTTTCCAGATGATCATGGCAGTTTATAACTATATATAGTAACACTGTAATACCACATTTGACAATTTATTATTTGGCAAGAAACTGACATCAGACAAAAAACATACAAATAAACATATGAGACAATGGTCCTGTGAACGTTGCCTTTGCCTTGTTGATCTTTATTCTTGTTATTGAATGATTTTAATAAGATATTTAAAGTGAATATTTAAACTGACAAAACAGTCGTTAAGTGAAGTTCAAGAAAGTCAATTAAATCACAGGCAGGAATAAATTTATGTTTGTTTATGCTGAATTTAAAAGATGATCTTAATACTGATTATATTACTTTAAAACTTGTTTATCAGTATGACACTTGAACAGATTCAGACTTTTTATGAAAATTAATTTGTTTTTATACCACATTGAGGCTATTGATAGTAAATGCATTATGGGACTTTCTTAAATTCCTGTGTAAATTGTTTAGAATCTTTTATAATTGAGAATGATGTCCCAATGGCGTTAAAATGTTAAAAGTGACTGTTTTGGAGTTGACAAGGGTAAAATATTAGGGAACAAGCAACTTTCTGTGCCACTAACAATAAAATTAATTCACCTATGGAGGTGAATTAATTTTCTTGTTAAATCTTTGTTTAAGCCGATGTTTTAAAAAAAAGATAACGCTTTTTTTTTCTGAACAACTGATTTTTTTAACAAAGATATTTAACAAAAAAATTAACAACACTTTGTTAATTTAACAGAACTTTAACGTTAACAATGTTTGAACAACAGAATTGCTTAATAACAAAATTTAACACAGAATTTAACAATTTGTTGTTAATTTAACTATGATTTCATTGTTAAAAATTTAACAAAAGTTTTGAACAACTGGGCCAATGCATTTATATTTCAGGTAAATTTCAAAGCTGCTGAGAATACCTGTCATTTCCAATTACTGACTGATAAAATTCACAGCTCCTTGTTCTTTTTCTACATAGACCAAGTTTTTCTACATAGACCAAGTTTTTCTCCATAGACAATTTTTTTTTTGTTAGTCCTCTTCAGTTGTCACTTAGACACAACTATGTCAATTAAGCTTGTGCAATTATAAAATTTGTTTTGGAAAACAAAACAAAAACAAGTCATTTCCTAGCTTGGATACATTTCTGATATAGAGTATTAAAATGTACTCATCAATTTCAGAATGTGACAACCAGGGCAGCAACTTTCCTTCGGGCAAATGTATTTTTTCTTAGGGGCCGGTAAACCACTTTCAGAATGTGAAAAACCACTGTACAGTTCTCATTGCATCTGATGGCTTTTCTTGTACTGGTCCCCAATTTGTGAGAAAATTTCCCAAATTATTAACCCCCACATATTTTGGGTCTATATTGGAATCACTTTGTCCCGTCCGTCTCTCTGTCCCGTCTTTCTGTCTGTCCCGTCCTGCTCTTAGTTCTTTAATATCTTTTGAACAAGATAGTGTTGAAATTTGAAATATATATTGAAGGTGACACGACCCTTTTGTAGGCCAGATTTCATAACTCTAAATTTAACTTTAACCTTTAATTAGCATGCTAAGGGCAATCATGTGGCTTTTGCAAACAGCTTAGAATCAGATCAGTCTGGTTAGGTTCCAAGTTGTTTGCCATTCGGACAACAGCAGACAACAATTGGCTTAGTATTCAGAGGTTTAACAAAGTTATGCCCCTTTGTTGATTTTTTTCTTTTTTGGAATATCTCTAAAAGTTTTAAAGATATTCAGTTGAAGCTTAAAATATAAGTAGAGGGTCACCTTCAAGTTCATTCTGCCATGCAACATAACTCTGAATTACATTTTGATAGAGTTATTGACCTTTATCAATTAGAAAAAAATCATAAAATTTAGAAAAACATAAATATCTCAGACACCAGATCAGATATTTATTTGAAACTTAATGTATATATGTTTGGACTCAAAGAGGATTAGCAGTAGATCAAGTTTTATAACTCTGCATTGCATTTTGACAAAGTTATGTCCTTTTTCTACTTGAAATCTTTAAATTTATGTTAACTATAAAATTTCTGAGACCTGAACAGGTTTTTGACTTAAAATTTCAAAGGTTTATGAGTTAAGGGTCACAAGAGAGTTCAGAATGCAATGTTCTATAACTTTTCATTGAATTTTGACAAAAGTTCTGCCCTTTTATGTCTTTGAAAATTTTTGTTAATACTTTAGTATCTCTGAAACAAGAACACATATCCACTGGAACTTTGAAATATACTACTATTTAAAAGATTTCAACCTAGCTAATTGAAACTTACTTTGTTTTTGAAACAGTAATAAATATCTTTCTTCTAACTTAGCAAATATCATGAAATTTACATTATACCCCTCCACACCAGCAATGGGTGGGGATATTCATCACTCCTGTATAATATCTGATGTATAACATGTACTCCTTGTTCCACTAAACTTCTAAGACAGTTTTTATGCATTCTTTGAATTTATTTATTGGAGTATTCTCAAAAAACAATATCTTACTTGAAAGTTATCATTCAGTGAGTAACTTGCAAATTTTGCATTTTTGTGAAAATCTAGTGTTGTTCGAAAGTTAAGACCAAAAATTTTTTGTAAGGCAAGAATAAATAAAATTGAAAACGAATCTTTCTGAAAACTTTCTAATTTTTTGTAAATTTTGGCTAACTAGGATTTCCTGAAAGTTTCTGAAATAAAGTCAAATTTTCAATTTCTGCCCAAACCTCATTGACATTAATGGGTGGGGTAGGGTAGCATTTTTATTCATATTCAGAACATTTTGTTTCGAAACAATCATTTTGCTTGTGTAATTTGTTACATTACCTGAATGTTATTATTTGTTTCTTAACAATGAGCAATAGGAAAACATTTTTCATAATGATGATATTATAGATTATTTAGAATTTCCTTATTTCTGAAAATAAGCCCTTCTAGTTCAGAAATATATCCATAACTCATAAACCACATGGTAAATTTTATTTAAATTTTGCATACAGGTGACCTTGAAGACATATAACTGTCCTATGTTGTCAATTTTACAGTTCCTTATAGTGCCCATTACCCATGGTCTACCTTAAAACCGACAAAGCCTACACTTTGAAATGTGAAAGTGGAGTCGAAGGTCACATATTTGAGTCAGGAAATAATTGACAGTATTATGGCAATTGATGCATGGTTAGTCAGAAGTTATTCACTAAGGCTACTTTTTCTTTGTATTTTAGGTGGTATTCAACAGGCAGTCATTCACCCCCAAGTGTACAATATGCATGGAGAGAGATCGGAATGCATTTCTGATTCCATGCGGCCACCAGTATTGTATGGTTTGCGCAACTCATCTAGAAGGAACAGCTGCACCATGTGCTTTCTGCAGAAGGGTGATATCTTCTGTGGGGAGGCTTATGTAGAAAGAAAGAAAAGTCAAGGTCACAGGTTCATTATACATAGCCAAATATGGGCATCTTGACTTTGTTACCATTTTAGGAAACTTGATGTTGCAATGGGAATGTATCAATGATATTCTGATACATTTAAATGATTATAGGCATATCATATCTCTATATTTATCTCTGACCTAAATGTTCATTTTGGAAGTACTAATTGTTCAGGTGACAGGTGAGCGGCTTTAGGATCTTGATCCTCTTGTCATATTTTTATGCCCCCGGGCATATAGTAATTGAACCGTCCGTCTGTCCGTACGAGGTTAACCTAGAACGGCAAGTTGGATTTTTCTTAAGTTCTACCTGTACCAATGGCTTCTAAGTTTACACACTTACTAATCAATACAAAGTACATGATCTGGGCAAGTTACATAAGTTACTCTGGCTTTCATATTTACCAAGTTATTGCCCTTTTCAGCACTGAATAATGGTTAACCTAAAACGGCAGGTTGGAAATATCTTAAGTTCTATCTATACTAATGGCTTTATAATTTCTATCTATACTAATGGCTTTATAATTTCCACACTTACTTATCAATACAAAGTACATGATATTGCCAAGTTATATAACTGTGTCATCCATATTTCCCAGTTATTTCCCTTTTTTCACTTTGAAAATAGGGCCTTGTCTGTCTGGTTAACCTATTTCCGCAAGTTGGATTTATCTTAAATTTCTCCTAATTGCTTAATTTCTTTAATGATATCTTTCATATTTAGTAGGTGGATACCTTTGATGGTCCTCTAATTTTTTATGGAGTAAGCGGTCTCTAGGGTCAAGGTCACTGGTTAAAAAAAATATATAAACATTTTTGCTCATACAGCCTTTATTTTTTAGTTGATGTCTTAGTTTAATACAAACATGCCAAGGGAGGTCCTCCTTCTTTGGGTGTAGTAAGGGGTCATTTGGGTCAAGGTCAATGTTACCAATGTCAAGGTCACCATTGTTAAAAATAGATTTTTACATTTTTACAGGTGTATTGACCTTATTCTATAGACAGATGTTATTTATAATTGATAGAAACATAAACTTTGATGGAGTTTGTGGTCAGTTGGGTCAAGGTCACCAGTGCTAAAAATAGATTTTTACACATTTGCTCATACAGTTTTTATTAAGTGACAGACATATTTTATATTTGGTAGGAAGATAACTTGCATGGTATTCATCCTTTTGATTGGGGTAGGGATCAGTGGGTCAAGGTCACTTGTGCTAAAAATAGATTTTTACACTTTTGCCCATACAGCTTTTATTTATTGACAGATGAATTTCATATTTGGTAGGAAGATAACTTGCATGATATTCTTCCTTTGGGTGGAGTAAGGGGTCAGTTGGGTCAAGGTCACCAGTGCTAAAAATAAATTTTTACACTTTTGCCCATACAGCCTTTATTTATTGACAGATGTATTTCATATTTGGTAGGAAGATAACTTACATGGTATTCTTCTTTTGGATAGAGTTAGGGGTCAGTTTGGTCAAGGTCACCAGTGCTCAAAATAGACTTTTACACTTTTGCCCATACAGCCTTTATTTAATGACAGATGTATTTCATACAGTCAACTCCGGTTATAACGAACTCAATGGGACATCTAAATATCGTTCGTTATATCCGAAGTTCGCTACAAGCGAAGTAGCAACAACTTGTTGACTTATTAGGATGGGGGAATTTGCCGTGAAAAAGCCATACGTTTCACTGGTTACCGGTGTAACCGGTATTTTACTGCAGCGGTTATTAAATGGTTATTAAATGCGGGGCATTTTATTAAACAATATTTTAAGTAAATGGTACATGTATTTATTCATGACTAGTACTTGTCTATAAAGTATTCTTTTGCTATTTGTTTATTATCGTTTGGTTAATATTGCATACAAAACAATCGATTATTTCGGGTATTTACAGCAATCAACTGAGAGTGCGAAATACAAATTTTCCGTTATAATTAGGAAATGATGTTGTGAGAACATTTCAAAAAAGCTTTATTCCCCGAAGCCCTTACTAACCTGTGCAATCATTCGATTGTATAATTATCGGATAGCGTTATTCATGTACTGCTCCTAATCGAGCGCATTTCGATATTTTAATTATAATAGTTTGTTATAACCGATGAAATTTAAATGTTTTCCGTCATTTGGGGCTTGAAAAAATGGTTCGTTATAGCCAAAAAATTTGTTATAAGCGAGTACGTATTAAGCGATGTGATTTAATATAAGATAAAAAAGGAATCAGCCGGGGATGTCTGATTTAGTTCGCTATTAACGATAATTTGTTATAAGCGAGTTCGTTATAAGTGGAGTCGACTGTATTTGGTAGGAAGATAACTTGCATGAAGTTGAATTTTTTTTTAACTTCACAAGTCAGAGCAATGACTTGGCAACTTATATTTTTCACAATTACAAAATGCCATGACTTTGTCAAGCTATATAACTTGTGTTTACAATTTTTTGGCAATTTTTCTGTCCATAACAGAGTGAATGGAAAAATTGGCTACTGACAAGAATCTGAGCCAGGGGTATTTGTGTTTAACAAACACGTTCTTGTTTTTTTTTCATAGAATTAGTGCTGTATCAATTCTTTAAAATACTGCTAAATTGTTTTAGTGGTATGTGGAAATATTTGATGATATTTTGCCAGAATTTGTGATGGATTAAACTACTGCTAAATGACTTTCACAGTATGTGAAAATAGTTGTTGATATTGAGGCATGATTTTGTGATTCATTTAACTACTGCTAAACGACTTTCACAGTATGTGAAAATAGTTGTTGATATTTAGGCATGATTTTGTTATTCATTAATATACTGCTAAATTACTTTAGTAATAGCCAGAATAGATTTTGTGATGATTTTAACTACTGCTAAATGGCTTTTATCTATGTGTAAACACTTGTTGGTATTTATGCCAGATTTTATTTGTCAAATCTTTGTGGTGCAAATGTATCATTTATCAAACTTTCTAACTGTTTAAACAGTTTAAAATATATTAGTATGAATGTTAGCATGGATGAATTAGTGCTTTTTAGCTCGACTATTCAATAAGAATAAGTAGAGCTATTGTAGTCACCTGATCGCCTGCATCGGAGTCGTTGTAACCACTTATGTTAAAGTTTTTGTAATACCTTAAATATTTTCAAAGTCCATTAACATATGGCTTTGAAACTTTGCACACTTGTTCACCATCATGACTCCAACCTGTAGACAGGAGGAGGTAACTCTATCAAGCATTTTGACAGAATTATGCCCCTTTTTTATGCCACCGCAGCATCTGCGATGCGGTGGCATATAGCGATTCACCTGTGTGTGTGTTTGTTTGTGTGTGTGTGTGTTATATAGATTATATAGTGAACTTAAAAAATCTTCTTGTGAAAAACCACTAGTCCAATTTCAACCAAACTTGGCAGGATTGATCCTTGGGTGAAGGGGTTCCAAAGTTGTTCAAAGAATTTCATTCCATACAGAAATCTGGTTGCCATGGCAACCAAAAGGAATTATAAGAATAAATTTAAAAAATCTTCTTGTAAAGACCCAAAAGGCCTAGGGCTAAGATATTTTGCATAAGGCATTGTCTGGTAGACCTCTACCAAGATTGTTCAAATTAAAGCCCTGGGGTCAAAATCGGCCCCGCCCCGGGGGTCATTGATTTTCACTATATGTACATATAGTAAAAACTTAAAATACCTTCTTGTAAAGACGGAAAAGGCCTAGAGCTTAGATTTTTTGCATAAGGCATTGATTGGTTGACCTCTACCAAGATTGTTCAAATTATAGCCCTGGGGTCAAAATCAGCCCCGCCCCGTGGCAACCAAAAGGAATTATAAGAATAAATTTAAAAAATCTTCTTGTAAAGACCCAAAAGGCCTAGAGCTTAGATATTTTGCATAAGGCATTGTCTGGTAGACCTCTACCAAGATTGTTCAAATTATAGCCCTGGGGTCAAAATCGGCCCCGCCCCGGGGGTCATTGATTTTCACTATATGTACTTATAGTAAAAACTTAAAATACCTTCTTGTAAAGACCGAAAAGGCCTAGAGCTTAGATTTTTTGCATAAGGCATTGTCTGGTAGACCTCTACTAAGATTGTTCAAATTATAGCCCTGGGGTCAAAATCGGCCCCGCCCCGAAGGTCATTGCTTTTCACTATATGTACATATAGTAAAAACTTAAAATACCTTCTTTTAAAGACCCAAAAGGCCTAGAGCTTAGATATTTTGCATAAGGCATTGTCTGGTAGACCTCTACCCAGATTGTTCAAATTATAGCCCTTGGGTCAAAAGCGGCCCCGCCGGGGGGTCATTAGTTTTCCTTATATGTATATAGTAAAAACTAATAGTATGAAAAAAACTTTAAAAAAATTTCTTCTAGCAATTGACAAATGCTAGAGGTTAGGTATTTTGCATGAAACATTGTGAAGTGAACTTCTAGCAAGATTGTTCAAATTATAGCCCTGGGGTCAAAATTGCCCCTGCCCCGGGGGTCATTGATCTTCAATATATTCTTATAGTAAAAAATCTTATTGTCTGAAGGTACAAGGCTAAGAGCTTTAATATTTTTTAAATGATATCATCTATAGGAACTCTACCAAAGTTGTTCAAATTTTGCCTCTAGTGTCAAAATAAGCCCCGCCCAGGGGGCCATAGGTTTTCCTTATATGTATATAAAAATCATCTTCTTTAAATTTACAAAGACTAGAGTTAAGATATTTTGCATGAAACATTATGTAGTGAACCTCTAGCAAGATTGTACAAATTATAGCCCTGGGGTCAAAATTGGCCCAACCCCCAGGGGTCATTGATTTTCACTATGTACATATAGTAAAAAAACTAAAAAAATCCTCTTGTCTGAAGGTACAAGGCTTAGAGCTTTGATTTTGGTATATAATATCATCTATGGGTCCTCTACTAAAGTTGTTTTAATTATGCCCCTAGTGTTAAAATTGCCCTGCCCCAGAGGAGATAGTTTTCCTTATATGTATAAA